GAGGAGGAGGAGAAGCAGAAGAGGAGCAGGAGGAAGAGGAGGAGGAGAAGGGGAGGAGGAGGAGGATGAAGAGGAAGAGGAGGAGGAGGAGAGGGGAGGAAGAGGAGAAGGAGAAGAAACAAAGATTGGGCACAAAGAAGGGGTGTCTGGTAGAAGGCAAGCTTGGGTTGAGGGAAGTATTGTGTGAGCCCAGCAGAAGCTGGGGACTTGGGTACAGGGAGTGGTCTCTTAAGGAGGACCACTTCTTTGCAGCGGGCAGCATGGAGCATTATTAGGAGGGTGTTGGTGGTGGCACTGTACATGGGATAGGGACAGTCAACATCTGTGCTATCCAATATGGCGGCCATGTGTGGCTGCTGAACACGCTCGGCGTCATGGTGAGTGGGGCCTGAGGAACTGAGCCTGTCACTTTCGTCCATTCTCACAACTTGAATTCCCAACAGCACCACCAGAATCTTAGGGGAAAATGTGGAACAGAACCGCAAATTCTTAAAAAACAACACACACACACACACACACCCAGGCCTACTGGGATGGTTGAGACTGGAGGACAGCTAGAGCCTATTGAACTGAATCTAAACCCTGCATTTACCTGGCGGCTCAAGAACAGCTGGGCTCACAGAATTAAGACTATCACCTGCGAATAGGTGCGCCTTTAAACCAGTACCCATGAGAGCAAGGGTCCAACAAGGTCTTTAAAACAAAGAGGAGGAGGTAAGGGCTTGTCAGGGTCGCTAGATTGCTGGAGGCAGAACATCCAGAATGGATTTCATGAGCATGCTCGCAAATTGTGAAGAATGCGACTAGCATTTTGAAGCAACGTGTGGAGAGATTGTTGTATGGTAACCTTATCTGCCCTGTAAACTTTCACCAAAAGTACAATTAAATAACATTGTAAAACTGCCCCCCTTCCCCTCAAAGCCATACATGGCCAGTAGCTACTTTATTATTGGCCAGTATAGCAATTGTGGATCAAGGTGCGGTGGGTGGGGCCGGTTGTAAGCAAGATCTGGACTTGGGGGGGTGCAGTGGAGGTCTGTAAAGTCTGTTGATTCCATGGGTGTCAGGTAGACCATTGCGTTTGATAGCACGGGATCTTCAACAGAGATTTGACCCATCTATACTGAGACCAGAAGAACTAGCGGGTGCCCAGCTACCCTCAACAACCATTCTGACCAAGGACACAGGTAGAAGGGGAGGGACATATAGAATAAACGCCAAATTCCTAAATAAATAAATAAATAGATGACCAGACCTACTGGACCCAGAGGACTCCCCGAGACCGTCACCCTACACACTTAGAATGGCATTGTGAAGAAGGTATCGAGGCAGCGGCTGTGTCTGCCTTTGAGAGAAGAGGGGGAGGACTAGAGGGGTGAGCTGGGGCTGGGTTTGGGGACACAGAGGTTAGGATGTTGGGGAGCCAGTGTTAAAGGGAGACAAATGGAAAGGTATTGACTGGGGATACGGAAGGGAGCTCCCTCCCTCTGGGGATGCAGAAGGAGACATCTGAGTTGGGATTGACAGTCCTAGCGGCATACGAGTTCAGCGCTCAGCTGCCAACCCAAGATCAGTGGTTCGAACCCACCCAGTGACTCCATAGAATAGTCTGGTGATCTGCTCCTATAAAGATCACTAAACCCTTTGCCATCAAGCCTGAGAGAGCATGTAGGACAGGGTAGACCTGCCCCTGTGGATTTCTGTGACCGTAACTCTTTACGGGACTAGAACACCTCACCTTGCTCTCAAGGAGCAACTGGTGGTTTTGAATGGCTAACCTTAGGGTTAGCATCCCAGCGCGTAACCCCCTATGTGGCCATGTCTCCTGCGTTCTGACTCATATGCGTAGTGACCCTAATATTGGATTTCCGAGGCTGCACATCTTCACGGGAGCAGGCAGCCCCATCTTTCTCCTGGTGGGTTTGAACTGCCAGCCTTGCCCTGAGCAGTTCCACTGTCTGATCTGCAGCGCCACTAAAGTTCATAAAGGTTACAGCCTGGGAAGCCCAAGGTAGGGGGTGGGTTTATACCCCAGGGCTAGGGAGGAAGAGTCTGCATTAAGCTAGGTCAGAGGGAATGACAGTCTGCGTGTAGGAGCAAGAATATATGCTGTCTCTTGGGGGCTGGAGAGCCTGTGAGGGTCCGCTGTAGCCAGGAGGGAGACCCGGAGGGCCTGGGAGAGGGTCTCTGATTCCACCGGAGATGGTGGGGATCCGGCAGATCCCGGCTGGTGCAGAGGGCTCCAACCTAGGCAGTTCTACTCTGATCACACAGGGGGGCCACCGAGGCTCTGAATTGCCTCCGGTAAGCTTGTTGAATCTAGACCATGGCCTTGCCTGGGGTGGGGGTGGGTGCAGACCGTTCACACAGCTGGGCCGCTAACCAAAAGGCACCACCAAGAGGAGCCTCGGAAGAGAGGCCTGGCGACCAGCCTCCGAAGAAGACGCAGCCCTTGGAAACCCTAAGGACTATGGGGCTCCTCTGTCGGACACACCCGGGGTGCCACCGCAGGCTTTGTGGCTCCAGGACAATCTAGGGAAAGGGGTTCGTGCAGGGACGGGGAGAAGAGTGTTTTCCAGCCACGAGAGAGAACTGCGGTTTGAGAAATGATAGCGGCTGAAGGTGGAAAGGGAGGGAGAGAAGGTCACTGGTCATGGAAGGGACAAGAATGGCGCTGGCACGGAGTGGGGGGCAGGGGGAAGCTTTAGGGTCAGGAGGCACTGGAAGGTCAGAGAAAGTCACTGTGAGTAAGTCACTCTCAGAGATTAGGGGAGATGGGAAGGGGGGGACGCTGGAAGAGGAGGGTTCCGGGCAGGGCAAGGCACAGTGGGGATAGATATGACTCACTGGGGGCGGCAGGAGGGGGCATGGATCTCCATTTGGCTGGGATTGGGGGCATGGCCGCATGTGCCTGAAAGGACCCCCTAGCAGGTTGAAACTGGGTGTCCGGGTCTTCAGCCAGGGGTAAGGGTAAGGAGGGATTCATGGTCAGTGTGTGTGTGGGGGGGGTCATGCTGGGGAAGGGGGGTGTCCTGCAGCCTCACCGTGAGCGCAAGGCAGTGTCGCGCACATGCGGCTTTGTGTAGGGCGGTCATGCCATCCCGCGCCCGGAAGTCGATGTGGGCTCCGCCCAGGCACAGGGTTCGAATCACCTCCACGGATCCTTCAGTTTGGGCAGCCAGTGTCAAGGGGGTCTCTGGGGACAGGTGAGAGAAGGGAAACCCAGTCACATGCAGTCCTCACGGCTCGGCAGCTATGACCCCGACCCCCATCCAGCAGTTCCCCCGCTACCAACCCCCAGCCCCGACTTCCAGCCCCCACACACCTCCCGAATCCGAATCATGATAATTGGGGTCCAGCCCTTTGTCCAAGAGCCTTGCCACCTTGTCGGACGTCCCGAGTTGCACGTATTCCAGGAATTTCTTCAACCCCGTCTGCGACGAGGAACAAGAGAGACGGGGCGGGAGGGCTCAGTCAGTTGAGTGCAACCCGAAACACCTCGAAAGAAAGGCCTGGTTATTTCCCATCCCCACCCTCACCCCTAGCCTTGGGGTTCTACTCTGAGACAGGTGCCGACTGGACGGCAGCTCATGACAAGCACAGGCGTCCGTCTCAGGGGAAGATACACAGGGGCGACCGGCGGGCACTTGAAATGTAGTTCTTTGGCAGTTGGTGGAAAAAGCTTCCCCCGTGGCGTCTAGGGGTACAACGTTAGGCTCGTGAGGTCAGCAGTTGGACTCCACCAGTCTGCTCCTCCTGGGATTGAGAAATCAGGCTGCCTGCTTTAGGAGAGATTTGCAGCCTCCGCTGCCCAAAGTGGGCAGTGCTACCCTGTCCTGTGGGTCAAGATGCGTCAGAATTAACTCAATGGTGGTGGGTGTGGGTTCCGGAAAAGGGGCTTTGCCCTGGGGGCACGAATGGTGCCTGAAGACAGACTATCTTCAACCCAAATGACAAAACTAGGGCTTGGAAAGAGAGATCTCATCTCCTGAAATGAATCCCGATGGTTTATGGTGGTGGGCGTAGGGAGGCCCTGGGAGGAGCCCCGGTGGTGTCCTGGTTGGGCTGTGATCCTCACGGTGTGCAGTTTGAAACCAACTGCCAATCTGACGGAGAGGGGGGAAGTGTTCTACTCCTGTAAAGAGCTACTGTCTCGGAAACCCACGGGGGCAGTTCTAGCCTGCTCCGTAGGGTCGCTAGGAGTCTGATTTGACTCAGTGACATTGAGGGAGGGAGTGAGGAGTGAGTATGTGAATGCAGACTTAGCTTTGCACTGCGCATGCTCCAGACCTGGGGGTGTGGTGAGCTGCCAGCACCAAGGTCAGCAGTTTGAACCTACCGGCTGCTCTGTGGGAGAAAGATGAGGCTGGTGGCGCCTGTAAAGATTTACGGTCTGGGAAACCCACAGGGGCAGGCCTACCCTGCCCTGTGGAGCAGCTATGAGTTCTGCGATGGCACTGTGAGTGTGTGAGCGAGCTTGCGTGGGAACACACGATCAGGTTGTGTTTTCAGTATGGTGTGAAGACTGAGAGCACACGCGTGTTGGGCACTCGGTTTGGGGCCTGCCGCTGTGGGAGAAGCCTCAGAGATTGAGGGAGAACCAGGAGTTGGAATGTGGGGCGTGAGGGGCATGGGGGCGCAGAGCTTTGGATGGGCAGGGATCGACAATCCAGGGTGTTTATCTCTCAATATCAAGACTCCTTCAATGGAAGACCCCACCCCACATGTCCTCCTAGCTCTTGAAGGTCAAGGGCAATGGGGGAGCTCCAGGGGGTGGCCCCTAAACATGGGGCAACTGGGTGTTGGATTCATGGGCCAAGTACAGGGGAAGGGGTCTTGGGTGACCTATGGAGAGGGGGCTTGGCGAAGACCAGAAGAGGGCACTAAAGGGCAAAGGACATGGGAACCAAGTAGTGAGGGATTGGGCAAAGTCAGAAGGAGTTATGCTGGGGAGAGGCGCCGCCAACCCAAAGGTCAGCTGTTCGAACCCGCCAGCTGCCCTGTGGGAGAAAGATGAGCAGTCTGCTAGCTGAAAGATCCACAGCCTGGAACATCCCATGGGGCAGCTCTATTGCTACGGGTCATAATGGACTTGACAGTGATGGGGATGATGGTGAGAAAGGGGTGGAGGTGACTCTGGCTGTCTCAGATGGCATGGGGACATCCCACATTGAGAATGGGGCCTGGGCCAGAAAAGGAAGAGGTGGGTTGGGGCATGGGGATGCTTGCTGGAGAGGTGAGGCGAGCAAAAGGAAGGACTCAGGGCAGTCCGGCCTTCTCTCAAGAGCCCTGGTGGTGTCAAGGTTACGTGTTGAGCTGCGATCCCCAAGGTCAGCAGTTCGAAAGCACCATCCTCCCTGAGGGAGAGACTGGGCTTTCTACTCCCCGCCAAGAGTTGCATTCTCTTAAAGCCACAGGGGCTGTTCTACCCTGTCACAGAGGGTCTCTGTGCGTGGGCATCGACTGGACGGCAGGGAGTTTGCTTGGGGGGGGGTCGGTTCCCTCTCTCACCTTCGTGTGCAACTTGGCCAGCTGCTTCTCATCCAGGTTGGTCTGCTTGTAAACTCGAGTCTTGTATCGAAACTGAGGGCCGGGTGGGAAGACAGACGGAGAGAGGGCAGAGACCCAGCATTAGGAGGAGGCTGGGGCAGGCGGGACCCTGTGGGTGTGACCTCTACCTCTGGGGTAGGTCCCTTCTGAACCAGGGATCACTCAGGATTGAGAGGGAGGTTTGGAAACAGGCTTTCTTGCTAAACGGACAGATTGTACCAGGCCGTGGTGGGGTATGCAGGCTTCAGATCTAATCTGGGGGAGGGAGTGATTGTTCTAGAATGCAAAAGGGGCATCCCCCATTCCATTGGCTGAGTTAGGAGACGCTTGGGGGATGTGGGGGGTGGCTTGATTGGCCCAAGGCGGGGCAGGGGAGGACACATGTGTTAGGGGACAACCCTTGTGTTATCAGAGCCTGGGGTGGGAAGGCCAATGGGCCTCACCTCCAGGTAGGGCACCCCCTTCTCAAAGGACTGGGGATACTCGCGCAGCAATCTCTCCTCCTCCAGGAAGTTGGCATCCCTGCCTGAGGTGGCCGGCTGGAACAGGCCATAGTTTAGAACATCCTGTAGACTCTCACTCAGGGCGCACAGCACCTGCTGCTTGGCGGTCCAGATGGTGGCGTCCGGGTTGAAACGAAGGCATTTCTGGGGGAGGAGGGGCAGGGGCAGTGGAAGGGGACAGGTCAGGGCAACGGAGGGACCTGGAGGCAGGTAGGGGCCCTGCAGACAGAACCCTGGAGAGGGACTTTAGGCAGGAAGGGGGCTGTCCTGGGTCACTCGGTCCCCTATTCCACCCCCACCCCACAGCCACCGGCTCAGCCCCCATGCCCACTCACTGTCTGGTGTAGATCCGGGATACCAATCCTGAAGACCATCATGCTGAAGTGGGCGTCGTCGGGGACGGACATGGAACGGCCTTGGAGGCCTCGGACTGAGGCTAGCTTACCAGGTGCCCCACTGCCCCGGCCCCGGGTCCCCCGGGGGCCTCTCCCGGGTCCGTCTGGGGAGCTGTCGGACTCTGAGCCCCCCTCGGGACACTCGCTGGCACTGTGGTGTTCGTCCTCGCTGGACGCGGGGCTGTGGGGCATTGTGGGGCCACGGGACGACGGGGGGCGGCAGCATCACAGGCAGCTATGGGGGCAGTGGGCGGGCGGAGGAAAGCGAGGGAAGGTGTCAGACTAGGAGCCCAAGGGTCCCCTCTGACGCCAAGGGACCGGTGGCCGCGGACGCCCCCACCCACCCACTGTCCATGGCGGCGGCTGGCGGGAAGTAAGCAGGCACCACCACCCCCCAAACACTCCGCCCCTCCGCGTGCGCACGCACACGCGCACACACCCCCTAGCCGGGCCACGCTCCCCGCACGTGTCTCCTTCCCTGCCCTTGACCCTCCTCGCAGCACCCCCCTGCGCCCCACTTTGCCGCTGACCCAGCCTCACGGTGTCCCAGAAACCGCAGAATCACCGCGGGAACTAGTGGCCCACTTTGTCAGGCCAGAGAAAAGACAGCTAAAATTAGCAGAGGACAGACAGGTGTACCATGCGGTCCGGCATCCTGCCCTCCTGCCCCTGGCCTGGACCCTCGCCTTGGGCCCTTCTTCCCACCCCCTTCCTCCTGGAAAGCTGCGGGTGGGGTGCGGGGAGGCTGAGGCTTCGAGGGAATGAGGGCTAGAGGGAGGTGAGCAGGTGGGGCCCGCGACTCCACCTGTGTGTGGCTGCCAGCGAGTGTTGGTCCAGCGCAGGCGTGCTAGGGGCCTGAGCTGTCCCAGGGGAGCAGGGGGGTGCCGAGGGAAGCACCAGAGGTAGTCTGGCTGGGGAGTGGGGTTGGAGGTGCTTGTTGAGGGATTCCCAAAAAGGGCCTGAGGGTGGGCGGGAGGCACCCCCTCGGAAGGAAGGCGTCCTGGGTGTGGACATGACCCCGGGTTCAGGGCTCGGGCTGGGTGGGTTGCGGGGGCCCTGGTGTTGGAGGCGCCACTCGGCGGGGTGGGGTGGGTAGGTGGGCGGGCTGGCTGACTGGCAGAGAGGCTAAGAAGCAGGGTGAGGGTCTGGGAACTGGAATGGAAGGTCACCAGAAGACCTCTCAGCAGTGTTCTCCCCAGAGGTAGCCTTATAAGGGTGGTCCCAAGTGGGGTTCGACCCTCCATACTCTCCCCCCACTCCCATCCCAGCACCGGAAACCAGCATGTCTGGTCTGGTCCCCCACCCCCCACCCCCCCATGCCAGTCCCGGTTCCAGCACCGTTGCCATGGAGATGGGAAGCAGTGGAGGGTACTGCTGACTTTGGGGGAGTGGGGATGGGCTGGGGTGGGGGGTGGGGTGGGGGAAAGAAGACAAAATGTGTGTGTGTGGGGGGCGAGCAGGAGAGTTCCAAGAGGGGGGCGGGGGGAGAGGCGAGAGAGCATCTAAGAGCCGGCGGGTTGACCCCAACCCATCAGGGGACAGGGCTGCGCATCCGCCTTCCGGCCCAGGTACCCAGCGGCGCTCTGCCCCCTCGTCTCCATCCTCCCCGCGCTGCCCTCACCCCACATTCCACCTCTGGCCTAGGGGCCTGGCAGCCACTCCCCCTCGGCTGACCCTGGCTGACCCCCGGCTCCAGCTTGCCCGGAGTGGGGTGGCTGGGTGATGAAAGGAGAACCGGTTGTGGGCGCCCTCGCGCGTGGCGGTCCGCGAGCCCCTGGACCAGCGCCGGCCCCTCCCCCTCAGGCCCCGAGGGAGGGAGCGGGCACGCTCCGCCGGGGCGGCATGAATCAAACGCGCGGCGGCTAAGAATAGCTGGCGCGCAGCTGGTACCGAGACGGGCTGAGGTGATGGGGATGATGGTGAGAAAGGGGTGGAGGT